TATATTTTCGATAATCTGAATTATCGAATCTTGACCTTTGATACAATTTCATTTTATTGCCTGAAATATGTGGGTATACTGTTTCCCTAGTCAATAACATGTAGATACGAGATATTTAAAGTCAAACAAGTGCCGTGATAACCGGGCGCTTGCTTTAAATTCAATATGCTCGAGCAACCAGAGTTCCATTCCCAGTGCCAGCACGATCAAAATTGTTGATTTTAAGTGCTGCCTTATTGACGTGTGGCGTGCTCAGCGGCGAAGGAAAACATCCTGGGGGAAACATGCATATTTTCGAAATAATAACAAAAAATTTCGAAGATATGTGAAGTCCGCCAATTGACGTTGGGGTCACGCGGTGGATGATGTTAGCTATATCCCAATTCCCTCCGTACAATAAATAGTGTATTCTGTAGATTGTTACCAAGTGTAGAGATGGGAGGACAATTTTATATGGGGATGAATTGAAAAATTGCCCAGCGACGAGTAGTAAATAACAGCTCAAAAACGCACCAAATTGACGGTAGCCTAAAAAAGATACATGAATATCTACATAAGCGAGTTAACTTTTAGTAGCCAGTAATCATGTAAGTATTAATTCCACCATTGCATCGTACCCACCCGCTACCGAAGCGTCACCAATGTAATGCTTTTTAAGGATACATTTTATACACATAGCTTTTTCTCTTTACCATTATTATCCATGTCTGTTGTGTTAAGGTAAAAGTTGTTTTTAAAGATTTTTGATTTACTTCCTACCTTCTCATTCTTCTTCTCAGTAGTTCCCTCACTGCTGAGCATCGTGACTCATATTTATTCGGTCAACGAGCTGTCTCCATCGGTTTCGCTCCGTCACCTGGTGGAGTGCGGTGGTTATGGGGATTTCCAGGTTCCTTGAAATTTGATCCGCCCACCTTTAAGTACGGCCTCTAGGTATTTTCCCCGTCACTATCAAACGCTCAAGATTGTCTGCTCCTCAGCGTGCAATATGACCATAGTATCGCATGTGCGTTATACCTTCGCATAGCTTACCTATAAATAAATGTTAGTATCTGAAAAGCATGTAAAATTATTGTTGGATCACCTTTTGATTTTGAGAAGTTAAATTACTTTTCATCAAACGAACAATACTTGGTAGCGTACAAAGAAAAGCTTTTCTTCAGAAAACATAGATAGTTAATTAATTATATCTGTTACGTACAAGACGTTCAATGTAGTCACGTAATTCCATTCAGAGAACATGCATCGTAAATTATTTAATCGCTCATTCGTCGTTCCCGCTGCTCCACTTTCCACCTCTCTATTCAGAAGATGTCTTAATAAATCAGCACCATCTTTGGCTGTAACGACATGATTTTTTGGACTCCAACTGCACGAGGTGTAATCTCAATTAGGGCGATATATTTCCTCGTTAAAATTGTACCCGAGAACTGGGCCTTTTCGACTGTGCAGTCGCGTGGAAAGTTTGTTTTAAACAAATGGTGACACGTTTCCACTCTTTTCAAGTCCATTTATCCACCATCGGAGAGAGCAGGAGAAAATGTTTTATGACGCAGTTGTACTGTTATAATCTGTTTAATGAGTAGCGAAAAAACATGCATATTATACATTCAAATTTTGGTTAACGGATGAACGGTTTCAGTATCATGACTTTGGATTTTTTTTATGTGAAGTTGCCACGCGAGCAGACGGTTCAACTGATGTTAAGTGAATATCGCCGTCCATGGCCATCTACTATACCCGAGGGTTCCAGATGCGTTGACAACCTTTTGAAAATTGGGCTCCGGCCACCTCACTTACCAGACGAAACGCGAAAGTATTATATTTCCACTTTACACTGGTCTTCTGTGAAGTTGTAGTACTTACCCGGATGAGCCTGTCCATTCGTGCAACAGCCGAGGCTGCTGCGTGGCCCTAACGCCGTATTTAAAGTCTGCGTAGCATATTGTTTTCATTTATCTCCATTTCATTAATCATTGATATGATAGCTACTCATACCATTATTCTCTCGTACATGATAGCTAGTAGCTAATCTATTGAAGTTAATTTTTTCATAAAGATTATCTAGTTTTAAATTGCGTTCAAACGTACCTTTTTAAATTTCCCCAAAAGCTACGCAGAAGTGTACATCACCCAATAACACTTCTCTGCAGAAATGTACATCACCCAATAATGCAAAGCTCCCATTATACGCGCTAACGAGCAACATTTCTTTTCGCCCGCGTAAACAGCCAAGCTATATCGGGCTATGACTGACTGCCGGCCGTTTCGAAAAAATGATGATTTGTTACCTCGCGCTGCTGCATGACTTCGCATGAATTGAGTGACAAAAATCCGACGGATGCCAGTTCCGCTGCGTCTCGGGAATCAAATTCACGCCTTATCTAACCACACTTAAGGCCGGTTTTAAAATTTCACAGGTGTAAAATGATAGGTGTCGGATTGGGAACGGAAAGACTTAATAATATCAATTAAATCAGTTAAGGTTTTATTGTGCGCGAGCCTTATTAGGATAAGCGGACAGTTACGAGTTTACAAATGAGTGCATTATATTTTTCGGCATTTCGACTGCTCTGATTACGTTGTAGCATAAAGAACATTAAATAATAAAAGTGCTCCGTATGTCATAATTAATATTGCTTGATTAACCTTTAAAATGCATGGCGCGACAAAAACGTGCATTATTCATGCGAAATGATTTTTTTTACTGTAAACAACATCATAACTTAAATCATCGCGGGCAACTGTTTCGGGGAACATTGCGCACAGAACCGTGAGTTTAAATAAAAGCTGAGATGTATGGAATATAATGTCTTATATGGAAGGTTAGTTAGCTGTGATTTAATGAGGTAATCTAAGGTTCTGGCTTAGTGAAGTGTTCTTTGACTCTTGAGAGAGACCTTTGCCCAGCAGTGTACCGATGTATGTTGATGCTGATCGTATATGTTTTTAAAATAGAGTAATAACAGCTTAAGTATGTAATGTGTACTGCGCGAATAGCCCACCTTGTCTAATACGATCTAACGGTGAGTCAGGTTGCCAAAAATCCACTGTCAAAGTGTTTGCCAACACGTCTGTAACTGTTTTAATAGTGTTCATGAGCGGTAACCGCTACTTATCGTTGAGTAAAACACTGCTTAATTTCCATCTCTCTTATGAGAAATACGTAAAATAAACAAATGCAACGATAGGTGGTAAAATGTACCGCAAGTACGACTATTGATCTGAACTATTAGATTTGATACTATTTAAAAAAAAATAATATGGCATAGAATGGGCTTGTCCCGGAAAGTTAAACCAGGCCTTAATGAGTTTTTAAATTGGATTTACAGTTCATCAAAGTCTGTGGTAATGAAACAAAATGTTATTTAGGCAATCACGTTTATTTTTCCATGAAATATATTAAGATTTATTTTATAAACGTAGAAATATAAACACATAAAAATATCGATATCACACTGATAACAATAACAACCAATTAATTAAGTAACTTGAAGCACAGGAATATAACCGAGTACACTTACAAATTAAATTGTTACATTTATTCCAGTTTTGGTTTTCCTTATTTTGATGATTTCATAATTCAAATTGTTTTACAGAAATGTTGATAATTTTTAAATGACCAAATAAGTTTAAATAGCAGTTACTTTTATTTGCAATTACATTGGAGTAAATCAGAATCAATGAAACCTATTTTTTTATTAAAATTTTATCTAGCTATTAACGAAATTCGACATGATCTAAGAAACAGAACTTATAGCCTATTTTGAATTGAATAGCATTAGGAAATTTACCTAAGATTTGATATGAAGTGAATTGACATGAAAGTTAATAAAAACAAGCATAAATTCTGTTTCATCGTATTTCGACTTGTCTATTGATTCGATTTATTATAATCTGATTTCAAGTAAACCAGTTTCGGTGACAATTCTTCGAACATTACACCATATGTGGTAACTCACACTTGTTATGTAACTGTGAAGATTCTTTCTATTAAAGTCTAATTCATTTCGAATAATCAAACTAATTAAACTTTAAAATTAAGTTCTGGTCAAATTATTGTGGCATTAAACGTAATAATAATTAAGGAATGTATAAAAGTATCAAAAAAATCTCCAACAAAAGAAAACAAACAACGATATGTAAAATAACATGCGAGACAAAATCAAACATAAACCTACTAATTAGATTTTTTAAGACAAATTATGCTAAATCTTCCTTATTTAATAAAATGACTCAGTAAACTGGCCTAAATACTAAAATAAATACTTAGATAACGTCTGGCAAATCAGATAATCTAATATCATACAATTCATCTTAAAATTTATTTGTACATTATAAATTTTGAGCTTCACAATCGACTGGCCGTTAATCCCATAACATATATAATTAACTGGTAATATAATTAGCACTGACATTTTACATTTACTGGCACTTTTGGCACTGGCACATAATACATGACACTTTCCAAATCTACCTACTTTTATCCTAACTGAGGAAACTCACTAATTTACATAATTACCTAAATCCAAATTTTATTTTGATTATTATGACGTTGTATTTCGCTTGTTATAGTTTATTATATATTTTGCAAAAAAGTTCTAAGTTTAACATGGCTCTGAAATGTAAAAATTTCAACTCTACTGGTACCGCTATTTATTTATTTTCTACTTTATGATAATCTGTAATAATTTTTTTACCTTATTTGAAACGAGGTTGATTTATTTGTCATTAAAAATTCTTTATAAATAGTGAAAATCCAAGCTTACCTTAACGCGACTATCTAAACAATATAAAATACTAGGTAATGGTAGTAAGATAAGATCAGGTAATATAGAAGAAGGAATGCACATATCACTTAAATACTGTATGGCAGAGTATTCAAAAGTAAAAAGTAGGTATATCTAATAAGTAAATAGATTTAGACAAATTTACATTTAAGGCAGGAAACAAGTTTATTGTTATTTTTGTATAACATGATAAAATTTATTACTTTCTCATCCAGTCATTGGGACTTCTTCTGATCGTTTTGGGACCAGGCTTAAATCTAGGGGATTTTTCATCATTTCCTTTCCGTTATCTCCGCTCAAATCAATGCTTAGTTCGGGCTCCGAGTCACTGATGTCATCACGTTTTGGACTTCTGAACAGAACGGCGGTCGATTTTATCGACAAGTCTATTGGCTGGTCTTGTTCTACCGCTACCCCGGCAACTGCTGGTGAATGTAGTAGTAGATCGCCTCCGTTACGAGTTTGCCAAGTAGCGATGCCTGGGGGCATTGATCTAAAGTTCTGGATTGCTGTTGGTAATGGTAGGAAAGAGGTTCCTCTTGGTGGGTAGCTTGGTGTGGCAGCTGATGTTGAGAAAGGCGATGGAGGCAGTGTTGCTGGCTTTTTTCTTCTCAAATCTTTGTTTTGATTTCTAATCGCTTGCAACCGAACATCTTTTTCGCTGCTAGGTGATGATGCTGGTCGGAAAATACTTAAACCGCTGGTGCTTCTCGAACTATTGTCGTCTTCTGGGTCCGCTGATGATGCCCCAGAGTCAGACGGAGAGACGCTCTGTCTCGTCACTTCTTCGCTGTAAGGTATCTTTTCCGAGTTCTTATAATATTCTGCTAACGCGGCGGCTGGTAGTAAATTTGTTGGTAAGAACGATGGATTGATCGTCGAATTAAATGTGGGGGGTGATTTACTAGTCTGCATTTGTTGCATTTGTTGCTGCTGCTGCTCTTGTAGCAGGCAGTGAATTTTGAACCAGTTCGATCTTCTTCCATACCGCGATCCGGACTTTGACATACCGACCAGCAAACACTTCCTTAATCGGCACGCTTTGCAGGCGGTCCTATTTTTCTTGTTGATGACACACTCGCCATTGTTCTTGCATTCCGATATCGAAGACAGATTGTTGTATGTCCGCCCGAAAAAAGACTGCAACAAGAGAAAATTTCCGAATATTAATATATGGAAATTAAGAGGCGATTCGATTTCAGTGAAGAGAAAAAAAGGACGCTACCGAAATCTGGTTCGTTATTGCATTAATTTAGCTTAAAATATCGACAGACTTCCGTCGGTCGGGCATAAGAAACGGCAATTTATAAGCGTTACAGTTAAGGAGATTCTCATATGGGTACATTCAATTGGCTACGTCCCTGTTCAGAATTAAAAACTACATATTTCAAAAAGTCATCGTAAAGAGCGTTGTATGCCGCTCGAAATCTGGGTCATCGCGAATAAGGTCGTATCTCACACATGGAATTGCAGAAGTTCGCTTGCGTCCTGTAGAGCCTTTGACGTAAGTAATGGGAGTGTTCTGAGGATTTTTTTTAATAAATTTGGAAGTTACCCCGCTGTGAGCGGCCTCGGCTCGCCTCTTGCCCAATTATACTCGTACAAAAGCGTAAAATATGTGATTGTGTTACAGTTTCACCGGGCCGTACCGCGGTCGGTACGCTTTAAGTGCTAAATTATGAACTGTCGCATTATTTGGGATTATGACAATGTTTTTTATTGCTTATTGCATTTGTGCGGACCTTTTTTTGTCTCAGATAAAGTAACATTTAAATTAGCATATTCGTTTAATCTAACGTAATCAGCTAATTAATAATAATCCTAAATACCAAAGTTTTGTTTATTTACGTTTTTGTATACAATAATTTGATTAAAATAATTATCTTGATTATATCGTTTAGACCATTATTAGTTTATAATTTCCAGGAGTTGTGCTATCCATTGGCACCAGCTTTTACTTAACATCAGCAGCAACTACTTATTGCCTACCAAATTTTAAATAATTTAAACTATGGATTTCATTACATACGACAACATTCATTGTAAGAAGTTATTTTGAAATTATTGATCTCATTACATATTATAAATACCACAATCACATTACGTTATAAGCACATTGAGGCTATAGCTGTTATCACGGAAAAGATCTTGCATCCATGAACAGATCTTGCATATGAAAAGATCTTGCATACATGAACAGCATACAAACTTGCATAGCGTAGATTAAAGAAACATGTGACACGTGTTGATACAAAACCAATGGTTAAAAAAAGTTATGATTTTTTTTATTGCAGTTTACTTTTGCGATAAGTGTTAAGAATCAAACCAACATAGTTTGCTTCGCAAATATCTGTAATAACATGACGATAGGGATCTTATTTAACGTTGCGCAATTTACGACAGGTAAATGACATTTAACTACGGATTTCCCGATGAATTAGAACATCGCAGACGATCGTGCCTCCCTGCGAATATCTTTTACGCGTATCCATATCGCCTAAGCGATTTATATAAACGTATCGCGTGGGCCGGAATCGCCGCATAAACAATTTAGCACAATGCGATCGAGCGGCCATTTCTCAAACGAAGACACGCTAATTTGACAGATCGTATTACGAATATAGACGTCAACGTAACAGTACGAAGACATCCGACATCCACTGATAATATTTATTGCGCGCCCAAGAACACTACTCATCTCGATAGCGCGCGCAGCTGGACGTGGCCGCGTGTTCCAACAGCGCAAACGGTCTATCCAGTGCGTCGAGAAAGTCTAATAGCGGCTGAGGCAGGTGACGCAGCCGTGCCCCTGTGTCCGATGGGCCTGGTAAGTGGATTGTGGTGATTTCGCGAACGCATGCGAGTCGCCAGATTAGAAATTCCAGATAAGAGCCTCTTCCTTATGGGCGCGGATTGCGCGTAGCTGATACGTCCTCTAATTGAGCGGCGTCGGCCCTCGTTGCGTAGTGTACGTGACTTGATTCGGCTTCGTTACTGCGCGGTACATTACCGCGATAATTGTCTATGGATATATATTTCATTGCGTTGCCAACATCGCTGTGCCGGCCGAGCGGAATTTATCATGAACGCTTTATTTGGATTCATGTTAGCTTTTTAAAAACGCAAATTGTTTGGTTAGATTATAAATTTAAATACAACAAGGCTCGGTCACTTGATATACCTAATCTTCTTAACGGATCTGAGTAATACCAAGGAAGTTTTTTTATGTTGTATAATTGTATCATTAAAAAAAATAAGATGACAAGACCGCAGAGTTTCCTGCCGGTTCTTCTCTGGTCAGATCTAGTTTAGTGAACCAGTGGTAGTTTTCATTGACGTTGAACGACGCTTCAAAAAGCGTATATTTTGAATAATGAAATGTTGACTATATGTGACCTACTATATTATCGACATACCACATACTATATACATGCGTAAGTTTACTATATAACTATTCAATGTTATTGCACGGCGTAATAATTTTCCTGTGATCAATTTTTTTTATAGTAACTAAGAATTCTTTCCAATTCCATCATCATAAGTTTCTGTTGAGCCAGAACTTACTATAATAATGACAAATGTTCTTAGAATCCGTCGGACGTTCCATGTGGGTGTGTCCGTATTTCTCACGGCCTCTCGCATAATAAAATGCTTTTTCTTCCATAACAATGTTTGTACGAACTTTCGACTTCGCTATGAATTTATGACTGTAGGCTTTTTACGAGTTCGGAAGCAGAACGTCGATATGGGCACGTCTTAACATGTGCTCATCTTCTTGTATCTTGTATTAACTGATGTTTTTGCTTTCACTCCCGAGACTATTAAAGCTTCACCTGACGCACAACCGGTGGGCTAGCCAGAACCCACGGGCTTGGGCCCTCCGCTGTGGGTAAGGCCACGCTTGTGCTCATGCTGCTCATCTGCTTAACAATCAATGGTAGAAAAATCCAAAAAAATTTAGATTGATTGAACAAGATCGATATTTGAAAATATTCAGTATTGTTTTTAAAACTGAATTTTGTTTTCTACTAACGGCCCGCAGGAAGAAATCCCTAAATTATTTTTGATATTCAAGCAACATCTAATAATTACCGATACGGATAATTTACCACTAATTTAATAATTTAAAACTAATGTACTGTACGATGAATTAAAAAGATTTATTTATTTTTAATTATAAAGGATGATAAAAATAAACCAAGTGCGAGTCGGAATCGCGCAAGAAGGGTTCCGTACCATTGTCTATAAAAACGGCAAAAAATCGGTACAGAACCCTAAAGACTAACGTGCGATCGAATCAATATGAATAAAAATTTTGATGACACCAAGACAGTTCTCGAGACAGTTCTTGCCAAACGTTAGGCATAAATACAAACTGTCTAATAAAATTCCATTTCAGATGTTAACATATAGCCTGTTAGTGATGGTGCCATATCAGACGTACGTAATCTTCAAGTTTCCGGAGCAAAGGTGCTAGCCTAAAACCAAACAATAATTGTAGCTCAAGCTTTTTTTTATTGCTAATTTATTCATTTTGCCAAAAGTATTTTATTTGTAGACGACGTATAAAAGTGTTTCGTTCCGAATTTATACTTTTATATTGTCCAATATTTGGCCAATTGATTGATAGAATTTCGAATTCATTAAAATTGACTGCAATTGCTCCTTCGCTCTCTTCTCTGGAAATGGCTCTCACATATTGCATTAAATTCGATTTTATTCGCCTTGGCAGATTTGATCAATGTTTGACGTATGTTGCATGTGCTATAGGTTGGTCAACATGTGATTTTTCGTGTGACTTTTCTTAAATTTCACGTCCTAATAATAAAAAACCTCTTCTAAAAGTGAAAAGAAATAAAACTTGAGTGTTATTATATAAACACTTGTCTGAAATTGATATATTTGCTTTATATTTGAATATTATATACAATTTAGTTTTACACACAATAACATAGATACGCGAATTAATATTTACATCAGTTTTTTTTTAATTATTTTTCGCGTTACAAGGGCCATTTCTACAATAGGAGAGGAGTAAAAACAAAAAAGGAATAATTCAGTCATAAATGTCACTATTATAAATATCTAAATGTAGTTTTGACCGCAACATAAATCTAAATTATTTTCATTTAGATTACATAATATAATAATACTAAAAGTTTTATCTCCTTATTTTTTCACAAGTATTTCATTAGAATTGCCCTTTGATTTTTAGAGGTTTTTATTTTTGTTGTATCAAATTTAAAAATTTACTAGGTATTTCATTCGAAAGTAAATTAAACCTGTACAATAATCCATTGGCGTATATTCAGTAAGTACTAATAGATGTAGCTATAGAGATATGAATAGTGTCATCTATTTGGGTTCCGTGTTGCGTTTTATTTCGGACGTAAAAATTTCTTTCGTATGAACTGGAAGCTGAATATCTTAGCCGTTCACTTATGCAATTTTAGGATTAATAAATAACTAGAGGCGTATTCCATTTTCCTTTTAAAAGGCAATGGCTTCACGTTCCTCCGGCAGCGTAACTTAACCTCGTTTATTGGTTTCCGCAGTGCAACCACTATCGTAAACGCAGTTAAAGTGCTCGAAGTTACTGTTAGCAATTAGTGTTTATAGCTGTGTTAGACCGCTAACTAAAAAAAAGTTATTTATGATGAAGCGAAAATGGGCGAGTTTACTCCTGAAGTCCTTCAGGCTACGCGCAATTCAAATCATTTAGGAGTTTTGAGCAAGTGATAAGTCAGCACTTAAATTTAAAACTATCAGATTCGTTGGTGCCCGCATCGGGTTTGAACTGAAGTTGCTCAAGTATCTTAAAAGTGAGCGTCCCAATACTAAACTGTGATAGGGCGACGCAGCAGCCTCGGCTGTTGCACGAATGGGCAGGCTCGTCCGGGTAAGTACCACGACCTCACAGAAGACCGGCGTCAAGTGGAAATATAATACTTTCGCGTTTCACTGGTGAGTGAGGTAGTCGGAGCTCAATTTTCAAAAGGTATCAACGC